TTGCAACCAGAAGGGAGAGATAGTCTTCTGGGTACATGTTCCTTACTGCTGCTGTGCGTGTTGGCTGGGTGCAAGTGTGTTTCATGAGTCAAGGTCACAGCTCCTTCATGGTGGGCTCCTGGTTGGCTCGTAGGGATTGACCCAGTCCACCAAAGGTGAGATCCTCTTAACCCTATTAACCGTGGTCTTTGTCCACCCGCTCCAGCGACTGGGCTTTGCTTTCCCCTCTGTGCCCCCCTCCCTGTGTGGGACTCTGCTGTTCAGGCACTGTGTGAAGCAGTCATCATGTGCCAAGTGTCTGAGGGATGCACCTTATTTGCATAGATTTGAATAATGTCTACTTTATTGTGCTATTAAGCCTTCAATAAAAAAGAATTGCTCCTATAATCCAGCAATGGGTTTATCAAAACACTCTAAATGCAAGTCTCTGGCAGAGGCTGGTTTTAACCATCTGATGAAAGGTGTTACGAAGTTTGGAGATCTAAGTTGTTTCGTTTTTTTTTTTTTAAAGTGGGCCATTAAAAGCCACCTGTCAGACTGAAGCACAAGCATTTATAATGACCTGATCTCTGGTTCCCATGTCCACTCCATACCTTCTTGCAGAAAAGCAGCTTAGATACTTGACAAGAGCATTAAGAAATCACGCAGGAGGCAGTGGGGAAGGAAAGGAGACGTGAACTCTTCTTAGGTCTCCCCACAAAAATTCAACTTGATGAAGCCAGCCAGCTTTTCCTCAGCTGCTTTGCGCCGTGGTAGCACCTACACAGGTCATGTCAAAACACAACCAGGCTCAGGGCAAGGCCGGCTGTGGGTGAGGTCTGCAGTCAAGATTGCTGTTAAGTTGCTGGTTGAATTACCCACGTGGTTTCCTCCGTGTCTGCAGAATATGGTCCCCGGGCTCCACCGCCGGGTTGCTCTGTGTCTTGCAGAGGGCACGGTATGCCCTTCACTCCCAGCTGACCTCTTGCTTGCATCAAATTCATCATTCCCGTCACTCGGCATGTGAGTCATTTCATCAGGCTGCGCTTTGTCTCTTGGTCTGGCGAGCGCACGCTCGGAGATGAGATGCGGTATGAGTCACAGTTCAAAAAGCAGGTGCCTGAACTGAGACTGTCAAAAATAAATTTGCAGGACTTGATTCTTTATGCTGGTTTTTGCTGTTATTAACTGCAGCTTGTGTCAGGAAAATGGCTGGCTTTGATGGACACCAGGCCATTTCTTCCCTCTTTAGATTTAAGATCAGGATTAGCTGCAGCACGATGGTCTTGTGCTTAGTACGTTCCTTCCAAATTAGCTTGTAACTGCCTGACAGATTTTGGATGCATCATTATAATAGAAAGTATACTTCCTTGCTTTGCATGGTTAATAGAAACAAAGTTCCACGTGCAGTGAAATGTTAACAGTTTTTTAAAAATGCTCAGCTTTTTTGAGCAAGTTGACAAGGGAAGGAAGGAGGCTCAGAGGTATGTCCTCTGCTCTCAACTCTCTGGGGTACATCAGATAGATTAAAAAATTCACTGCAGCTTGAGGGCCAGACCCATACACTGCATTTTAGGTGCATGGCTGGGGTCTGCTGTCACTCACTGGGGAACAGCACTGGATGCCTGTTTGGGGCTCTTTCAGCAGTAGAGAAGCCCACATAGAGGCTGCTCATGGAGCCTTCAGAGTGGGATCAGGAGAGCAGAGAGGAGGAAGATGTGTGACCTTCAGGAATGAAATAAAAATCCCATGGAAAGGGAAAGATCGTGCCCCCAGGGACTCATAATGAAAGTTTCTGCTGCACGCTCAGGGGGTTCATTAGTTGGAAAGGGCAGAGATGGAGAAAGGGGCCTGCTTGGGGCTGAGATGAGCTAAATTACTCTCAAAGTCCCTTCAGCTCTATGACTGAGAGCTCTGTAATGAACTTTTTCTCTTCCTTACCTTTTTAGGATGTACAGGAGAATCAAGGAGGTTTTGATAGCATTACAGGGGTCCTGTCAAAGCTTGAAATGCCTCTCAGGTCACCCAAGGTCTCCACAGTAGCAGATGAGGTACAGAGAAGGGACTGTAGGAAGTGCTGGAGAAGTGAGTGCTTGTGTTCAGAGAAGAAATTTGGAGCATTGTTAGTTTATATCAGCCAAACGAAGACCAAGATGTACAGTAGGGTAAAGCCCAGGGAGAGGTCAAGGCAGAAGAACGTCAGATGGATGAATAAATTCAGGTGGGAGAGGATTGAGGTTAAAAGTTTCTGGTGTCAGAGCAGTGAAATCTGGGAGGGAGGAGCCTCTGGAAAGGTCTCACAGAGTTGATGGCACAGGCTGAAAGTGTAACTACTTTTAAAGCAGAGCATTGCACTTCTATGTGCAGTCACCTGCAATAGTGAAGGGCTGAATTTGGTGACCATGAGAAGTGTTTTCCAGCCTCCTTCCTGCTGGAGGATGATGAGCATGTTGTTGAGCATCCCCGCGGCACTACAAAGCATATCAGAGTAGAGTTGCACTGAACAATTTATGTTGGGAAAGGAACAGAGTTGCAGAAGCATTTTTATTAGAATTGTAGAATCATATAATGGTTTGGGTTGGAAGGGACTTTTAAAGGTCATCTAGTCCAAGCTCCCTGCCATAGGCAGGGACATCTTCCATTAGATCAGGTTGCTCAGAACCCCGTCCAACCTGACCTGGAACATTTCCAGGGATGGGGCATCTACCACCTCTCTGGGCAACCTGTTCCAGTGTTTCAACATCCTCATTGTAGAAATTTTCTTCCTTTTATCTAGTCTGAATCTACCTTTTCACTAGAGACCTTGCTAAAAAGTGTTTCCTTATCTTTCTTGTAAGCCCCTTTCATGTACTGATGAAAGGCTGCAATAAGGTCTCCCCAGAGCCTTGTCTTCTCCAGGCTGAACAACCCCAACTCTCTTGGCCTTCCCTCACCTCTTCCTCAGCAGAAGTGTTCTAACCCTCTGATAATTTTTCTGGCCATTAATCCAGTAGGAGTTAAAAGCAAATATATTAAAAAGGTATTAGAAAAGATAAGATGATCTCCTCTTGGCTTCTTCATCATTTGCTTCCCCCCACTGCTTCTTCCTCTGCTGCTCACTCTGCTCAGCACTGAGGATGAGTGTGAGTGCTCTTTGTAATACCCAGGCACCGTGCTCCAACCTCTGGGATTCAGAAGGACTGTATTATTAACAGTGGAATAAGTAAGGTACTTGGCTCTCTACAAAAGAAAATAAACTTTGTGCTCAGTGCATGTTCCACCCGCACGCCAGAAGTCCGTGGGCTGTATTTCTGCAGTTGCCTTCTCTGTGCTCTCTCCATTACCTCTGGTAATTGAGTCGCCTGTGGGATATAGCACCAGGGTATGCTTGGTTGCTTTGTGGGAAAAGCATTATTTTGAGTTTGATCCCTTTGGTGGTGGTGGGGAGAAGATGAAGAAATCTGCAGTCATAAACCAGGCAGACGGCAGCTTACATCGTTAAAGCCTGTAGAATACGTATTTATCTACCTTGCACACACTAACAAATTGTTGTTGCAATCATTACAGTAAATATGAGATATGAAAACAGTTTTAAGTTTCATTTTGCTTGCTGTCACCCTTTTTTTCTTTTTTATTGAGTAGCAGCAATTTAATAGCATTGTTTGACTCCTGTTCATTTTTTTCAATGTCTTGCATTGTATTGAGTTTCTGTTGAACATTTAAGTACAGTAGTGCAATTTTATGCCTATTGGAAAAAGCAATAATTATTTCATTAATACCAGGGTAGAATTTGTCCATACTAAACAAGAAATCAGAAACCACTGAACGTATCAAGTAAAGTAGTGTTTCTCAGCTTTTTTTTTTGCTTATGTGAAACAAAAGAAGATACTTTCTTGGACCTGTATGCATAGGCGTAGACTTGCATCCTCATCTTACTCTTGTGCCATCCCACAATAACACTGATTGTGTGTAATTGTGTGTGGCATTGGGGCCTGGCTTAGGTAAGAATGTATTTTAGTTTCTGGTTTGTGCTGTTGCATTTTGTCTTTCTAATGACATATTGAAATTAGCGGTTGATTTTTCAAATAAAACCTTTACAGGAGTGAGGAGGGAGGGTGATGTGCAAAGACACTGAAAGTGACCAAGGGGTCCAGTTCCCTGCTTCCCTAGGGAGGGAGAAAGCTGGCTGCCCATTATGTCTGCATAGTTACCAATTCACATTTTAGTTTTTAATGTAAGTGTGACATATTCATCTTGAAAGTAAACAGGCTTCTGTAAAGCATGTTAAGAGTAGTCCATTGTAGGATACGACAGGTCTCTGAAACCAGATCCAGAGCCAGGATGACAAATTGTTCCTCTGCTCTACTGAATTATCTGCTTTTCAGTTTAAAAAAGGACAGTACAATCCAGTAGACTTTATAAAGCACTTTCAGCTCCCAGAGCAATGAACTACCTAAGAACATACTCCAGAGTGGTCCGGAAGACCACTGGAAAATGAACACGACCCCTTGGGAAAGAACAGAAATGAAAGACAAAATTGGGGGAAAGTAAACAACAGGAAAATAGAGAGTGGTTTAGGGGGGTAAACATTCTTTACCGTGTTAATGCGTACGGTGCTGTGGGGGTGTTATGTGAAGCGAAACTCTGGAGGGTAGTGGTGGAACTGCCACACTGCAGTGGTCAGACGTGCTGATATTGGTGATGTGCTGCTGATGAGTTCGAAGGAAAAAAACCCTCAATCCTGTTGTTTAGCATAAGCTGCTCCTTTGTTATGGAATTTAGGGAGAAGCCTTGTGCAGTGCTTGACTTCTTTATAGCTAGATTTTTATTAAGTAAATGTGGTTTTTTGCGATGACTAGGGTTTTGGTTGTTACTAACATTGGTTTTAGCTTTGCTAGCAACATGCTGGAAATTTGCCAGGCGCAGAAACATGGTTCGTGCCCCGAAGCTTGTATGATCTGAAAAAGATGACACTGGGGGAAGAGGGAGGGTGTAACACACTGTATAACATTTGTTTTCTCCTCTTCCTTCCCTCACTGCAGACTGTACCAAAGCCAATAGCACTGGAGCCCTGTTTTGGGAACAAAGCAGCTGTTCTCTCTGTATTCGTGAGGTTGCCTCGAGGACTTGGGGGTATACCACCACCAGGACAGTCAGGTGAGGAGTATCATTGTCTCTGCTGGCTTGGGATTAACTCTGTGCTCCTTCCCCAGCCTTACAGATTCACCTTACAGTTTCAGACTTGATCCTGCAGTAATTGCCGTACTCACACCGCAGCTGAGGATGTGCTTGGGTTATTTTAAGCTAGCTAGCGTGGGTCCTCCTAGCTTCTAGCCTGAGGTTTGATTCAATTTCTTGGGTCAGTTGATGGATTGAACAGTTGATATTTGGATTACACTTTAATTTATGGCTGGGGAAAAAGGGGGATCTGGCACAGACAGGTTTGCAGTAGTTACTTATGAAAGTAACTTGTCTCCCAGCCTATTCCCCTTCATTCCCAGCTCCATTTGTAGAGAGACATCAAGTCCGTGCCCTCCTCTTAGCAGCTCTGGACAGAGAGCTTTTCTCCATCCAGCTTAAGGTTTCCTTGTTCCCAGCCTTTTCTCACTTAAACCTACTTGCAGGGCACTGAGATATAATCTCCTGGGCAGTTTGTGATTTTTCTGGGGTTTTTCCAGTGCCTAGTGAGCACGGTGAAGCAGAGAATCTTAATAGAGAATTAGCTGGGTTTGAGATGAGATGGTTTGGTTGCGAGCTGTATTGAGCTAAATCCCAGATGGCCAACGGTGGTTTGTCTGTGGATTTGCTGGGAGGAGGTTGCAGAGATGATGGAAGTCTGGGAAGTGCAGTGAAACGTCCATGCTCGTGTGCTTTGAGGATTTATTATAGCATGTCTACTGGTGCAGAGAAAGACACCTCCCTTCAATATTATGGGTTTCACGTCCATTAATACCCACACTTCTTATTTCCAGCTTTTTCTACTGCAGTTGCTCTCAATAAAACATGCAGTATTTAAAAGCTTATTTCAGAATAGCAGCTAGAGTTTAATCTCTTAAGCCAAAATGCTTTTCTAGTTTGCTTTTTTTAAGAAGAACTAAAAAATGATATTCATTTTGTGGCTTGAAGGGCTTTTCTCAGCAGTGGCGGAAGGATTTGTTTCTGTGACTGTTTTGTTCCATGACTATTTTGTTTTGTTGCCTCAGGTCTTGCAGTGGCCAGTGCGCTGGTGGACATTTCACAACAGATGCCAATTGCCTACAAAGAGAAATCGGGTGCAATACGGAATCGGAAACAGCAGCCCCCTGCACAGCCAGGAACCTGTATTTGATGCATGGACATCAGAAACTGTATAGGGTTTTAAACAAAACGGAAAAGTAATACCACGGAGGAGAAGGATTTCCAAGTTGTGTCACAAGAGACTAGAAGCACTCAGAAAAACACAACTTCCTTGAACCCAACTTTTTTCTCATCTACGTGATAGTTGGCTTTATTTGACAACTGCTCCACTTAAGTTTTACTGACACGTGACTTCAGATTGCTCCTTTGTTTTCTTCAAGTTTAAAGTAAAATAATTTTATTGCAGGTCCAGTAACATCCGATTGCCACCATTCATGGTCAGTGTAAATAGAACAGTAGTCCAATATAAAAGACACTCAGGTTTATACATGGAAAGTGCTTTGTAGTTCATGTATTTATCAAACTGTACAAAAAGAAAAAGATGCAGTGTTTACAGGTGTCAGCTCTCAACACATAAACACTACTATTAATCTTCAAAGCATCTTCATCCTTTGTTTTCATTTAATATTGTATGTTTATTCTCCCATTGTTTAAGTGGAACTCTCTTCCAGATAACAACGTTTTTGTAGTCATCGTGTTCCAGAACATCAGGAACACAAAAGCTGGGATGGTGTAACGGTTGATGTCGCGTGTTGCTCAGACCACATGCAATACCTGAATGTTGCTTTTGAAGGACTCAGTGTTTACATAGTCTTAACCTGCTTGGAGTACACCACACACAAGTGCCTAGACTTGAACAGATCTAGGGAGTGAGGAGACTGCTACACACATTTCTTTTTAACATAATTATATTACTTTTAAATATGCATATACACACACACACACTCACCCAAGGCAATCTGTGTGCTCTGTAATACATCACGTGCAGTCAGGGGAAAAAGGCATTTTCCTGACCAACAAGCTGCTCGACCACGTGGAAATACCTGGAGGAAAAGTAGAGTTTCAGTATCTCATAAGAAAACTCCTGGTTTCACCAGTGCTTTTAATAGAAGCAGTTTGTGTTCCAGGTCAGATACATTATAGTTCTTCTGATTTTCTCTGCCCATTTGGCCTTTTTCCTCCCCCTTCCCTTATGCCGTTCTTCTGGACAAGAGCTGAGCTGTGCCAGGGCTCAGAGACATCACTCCTCAGCAGTAAGATTTGCTTCATCTCCTTACAGGATGTAAGAAGCAACACTCCGGGTGCCAGATCATTTCAGAATGAAGTAAAAAAGAACTTTAAATAAAAAGCAAGCAGAGCAGCTTCATTTGGCCACAGGTTTGAGTTCAACATGATCAGTCACTGATTCTTCCCATTGGAGTTGAACTGTCTTAGATGCGGAAGAAGGTGGATTGTTGGTGAAAGGTAGGGACTTGTAAACAGCGAAGAGAAGGTTTGGCTTCTGGGGCATGTATCAAACCATCAGAAGTACTCTGACTAGTTGGGATGCTGTTTCGAGGTTTGAGGTTGGACTTAACCCATCAGTCTGTGCGTGGTGGTGCCCAGTGTCCCCCTCGATTCTGGAACATGGCACAGTGCCGGGGCCACAGGTGTTGTGATGTCGAAGCTGGTAGGAAGACGTTACATGAAGGTGCCAAACGAGGCGTGTAATTGTTGCTTAATCACAGTAAGTGCTGTTTCATTCAGGTTGCTGAGTCGCTGGTTTCTGAGGACATCTAGTATGTATGAAACGGAGAAGTAACAAATCGAGGGGAGTGAAGGAAAATGCTCTTGAATCTTCTGGCCAGGTAGCACCCTTTTCCAAAATGAAACTCGAGTAACTGCATCTTTTTTTGTGCACGTTTTGGTGATGGATTGCATATCAGCCACTTTTTTTTTTTTTAAACCATATATTTTGAAGAAGCTCCTTGGAGCACAGCAGCATCGCAATAAAGATGTGGATTGCTGTGCGTGTTCGGACAGCAGTGATGGGGGACAGCCTGCTGGTTTAAAGACCGTGGTGTATTATAATTCTGAGTTAATGTGTCATTTAACAAATACAACAGGACTGCAGAAAACATATGCTGGGAAAAAATGCATTTTTATATATATATCTGTGTGTGTATGTATATATAAAATGCATCTTTTTCTAAATGAGAAGTTAAATGCCCTCTGGGGAAAAGACGTTATGGGAGGGAAAGGGGTGAGCTTTGTCTTTTAGAATGAAGGGGTTTAGGCAATTTAAGTTTTAACGATGCACAGATTACCTCAGACAGATTCATCTCCTGAAAATACTTTCTAACTTCCTATGTGTATAGGGCTAACCTGAACTAGAGAAATACTGGACTAAAATCCCTCCCTTATTATTACTTTCCATGTTTTTAGTCATGATGCACGTCCTCATGTTCAGAGATGTCTTCTTGCTTCTCCGACACTACTTTGGGAGGAAAACTGCCAATCCAAATTGAGAAAGCTCTTGTGCTTAAGTCTCCATATTCAGGACAGCACTTAAGCAGGTGCTTAAAGTTGTTGCTTAGGTTTTCCTGAAGAAACAGCTTTCAGAACAATAGGCCTGGAGGATTGATATATTTTTGCATTAACAAAAAGACATGAATATGTTTTGTTCTCTTCCCTGCCCTTGGAGAGCTGGGTTGTCTCATCTCAAAAGCTTATGGTGAAGTGTGCCCAGAAGTGTAGCCATGAAGATAAGTGTCAGATATTGGAAAGATGAGCAAAAATGATCAAACTTTGAGGTTTAGCAGAACCAAAAAATGTAAATAGAGGAACAAGACTTATTTATATAAATAAAATGAAACAGCTCCTTTAGGATGTAGCTCTGCTCTGCATCTTATCTCCATACTGATGAGGGAAAGAGAGAATTCTCATACATATCTCTGCTGCAAACAGTTTCATCCCAACTTAAAGGTAAAATTGAGACAAAGGTGGGAATGGATGGGGGGAAGAAGAATTGCTGGTAGTTTATCACCAGGCCAATATCAAAAGTGAAGGATTTGTGGGTTTATTTCTTTTGGAGGTGAGGGGGGCGGGGAAAGAGCAACTTTACTTCATGGGAGAATCTGTAAATAAATGAAAAATAACACACCGATTTTGCACTTGTACATAAACTATACAGTAGCGTGCAGAACATTGAAAGATTTAAAGTGTATATAAACCAGAAAAAATATTGAATGTATTTTTGATGCATTTTAAATGATGTATGAGTTTTGTCTTAATAACTTCTTCATATGATGAGTATTAGATAACTTTCCAGAGCTTTAAAGAAACATCAAATTATATTCGTGATATCTTGCAGTATAAAGCAGGGAGGCATAACTTGACTTTTATGTATTCAAATGCATTTCACTTAAATGTATAAGCGAAGTAAAATACGACTCTTCCATTTGAAAGGGGAAAAAACCAATGCTTGAAGACAGGTAATAAATGTACTTAAAGTAGTCATTACTTGGAGGATTAAGTCAGCAGTTTAAGCCTCTACCATTAAGATTGTGGCAGTGATTTCCATTAAAAATCACTATTTTCAAGCGTTTATAACTGGCTGAAATTCAGCATTCAAGATCTCAACCCTCAGAACATTTTTATTCTTTGAAAGTAACCTTTCCAAAAATTTAATCAAAAATCAGAAATGTTGTAGCCCTTTTATTCTAGAAAGCACGAGTGCCATCAGATCTCCAAATAACCTACATTTTTTTGGTTCACCATTTTCCATTCTTTTTAGCTCAGGATTTTCTCTGGACTACTGTAGCATGAGTGAAAGGAAACCCTGCCGTGGTATGGTCAATATGTTAGATACAAGATGATTTATGGACACAACTTTGAGTTATTGCCACTCTCCCTGGGCTTAAAATGCGCTGTATTGAAATGGCTGAAATAAAGCTATACACGATGGGGTAATGCCTGTGATTAGCATAAAGTCATAGCATATAAGCTTCCAAAATTTGATGGTATGGTACCCTAAAAGCATGACAGCCTCTGTTGGCAGATGCACACTTCCTTAGGGGTCATTTGTATACTAAATATTGCTCAGAAACATCATTTTCTCTGCCGTAAAAGTTTACTAAAGTGCTATATAGTCCCTGGGTTTATACTATGGTTTTTAAATGACAGCTCAGCTTGGTTGGCCCTAAATTAACTAAGATGAACTTTTGATGAAACACTTTCCTCGCTCAAGAGGCTGAAATAAAACTTGAGGCTTTTCCCATAACCTGCTGAAAGTCCAGCACTGCAAAGATGAGGCTGATTCTCCATCCTTGGCTGCTCCTGATGTTAGCAGCTGCTTTTTCTTTTCCACGACTCCCCAGGTTAGGGGCTGATGCATCAGCTGCATCTCTGAAGCCACAAAACCCTGTTCCCTGCAAAGAGGGATTTGCTGTCCCTGAGCTTGAAGAATGGACCCTACATGCCAGGAGCGACTTTCAAATTCATCCATCCGTCCGTCCAACTCAGCAGGCTGCAGACACCACTTCTTGTCACGTTTCCTTTTTGTCTTTGTTTGGGAACATGCCAGGGGAAGGGGAGAGCGGAGGGGGTTGGGTCTCAGGAGCCTCCTGAGCGAAGCTGCAGGAGCAGGTTGGGAACATGTTTTAAATGGAAAGGTGTGACTGGAAGCTGCACACCCCAGCGTTTGGAGACACGGGAGCAAAGGGAAGGGAGAGGGGCAGGTGTGTGTTTCTTATTTTCAGATGTGTTGGCCATTCTAGTCAAATTCCTGCTTTTTCTGTTGATAGCTGCTTAAATAAGGTGAGTTTCCCATGCTAGGAATACAATAATGTGTATGTGCTGTTTTTTTCTGCTTCTGCACCAGGGCAGATTTTGTTCAGTTTATTACTTTGTTCTAACACTACACATGGACTATTCTTGTGTGTCTTCCAGGTACTATAGTTCTTTAGACATTTCCTCTACATTTATCGTTGACTCCACAAACCTCACGATAATAAAGAAGAAAAAAAAAAAAAATTGTGGAGGAGTGTAACATATGTCGGTCCATTATTTTTTTTAAAAAAGAAAAAGGAAAAAAAAAAAAAAGGAGTTTTCTATTACTCTGAAATTTGTGCACAATAAGTGTTCTTTACACTAGGATCCTTGAATTAATTGTATTCTGGATTTTTTTTTTGTTCTGTAATTATTTACGATTCTTATCTGTGTTCAGACTTGAGCTTAGTTTGTTAATATGTATAATTTAGCATTTATTGCATTCATATGTAAATACAAGCAAGTATTGTAAACTATTTCATTGCTGGGGATTGTGGGTGTTATACATACACACATTTAGGACTGCAGTTTTTGGTATAATTTTTTGTATTGTAAAATAACAGCTAATTTAAAGCAGGAACGAGAAAATTATTGGGAGATCTGTGCATTTTAAATACAAATGTGAAGTACATGTACATAAATAAAAGTAAATAATGAAAATCTTTCCTCTGAAATAAAAAGTAGATGGTCTGGTTAAAATTTCTCCCCACCCCTGCTTTTTTTTTTTTCTTCTTCCTTCCTCCTCCCCCCCCTCCCCCCCCACCTTTTTTAAAGTAGGGGAAGAAATAACACAAGATGTTTAAATTTAAAGACCCCTGGCTGGGGTGAGGGTGAGTTTCCACCGTGGTTGGGGTGGATCTCAAGGTGCTCCTGTATCCCTGAGCAGGGTGTGTTCACCCCGTGCCAGATACGGAATTTGGGAGGAGGAAAGAGGGATGTTTTGGGCTCCACCAAAGCATGGGGGTAGGCTGCTGTGTCTGCAATACTGCCTTGCAATCCCCCAAAACCATCATCCTCACCTTACATCTTCCCTAAGGTGCCTCAGGGAAGCCCTTGTCTCTGACCTTCTCCGCAGCTGTCTCTGAAGGGTGGTAGAAAGGAAGAGCATCCTAAAGAGATGTCAAAGTCTTCACTGTAGAGTCCACGCAGGTCACCTGGGATGGTCAGGGCTGAAGAGAGAATTTATTTGGTTTAACCTCCTCAGTGCTGGGGTCGTGAGTCCTTGCTGTCAAGATACAGCTGGTCTTTACTTGGCTTGGTGACTGTATTACTGTCCCAAAGCTCAGGGGTTCTGCATTCAGGGTTTAAATAAGACCAACAGGAACAAAAAAATCTCAGTCTCTTCCCTTTCTTACTCTGGCTGCTCATTTCTCCACTAAATCATTCCTTCTTTTGAATCAGAAGAGAAAAACCTGACATCCCTGGAGACTGTCTCATCCAAAGGGTTTTGCTAATACTTTTGCAACCTTATCAAATGTTGGCATCAGCTGGTGTTGCAGATGCACACAGAAGCTGGGAGAGTGAAGGCGGAGGTGACCTCTCCTCTCCCACCTGTGGAAGCCTGCATGCAGCACACCCAGCATCCCGAAACAGATTCCTGCTGAGACACAATCCGTTGTTCTCCATTTATTTTTATGTCGCTCTTCGGCTTTGAAATTAAGCACTGCTGAGATGAAGCAGAGTTGAACCTGACATTTATGAGCCATGAAGGTTTCAGTCACCGCCATCTCCTAAGACCGTTGTGCTACTTCGTCCCATGGCATTAAACTTGGATGCAGAAGCCCAATTCTCAGAAATTGCTGCTGAGCTGAGTGGAGCATGCCAGTCTGAAAGCACAGCATGGTGTGTCCAGACTTGAAATGAAGTGGGCAGGGGGTAGGGGTTTTAAGGCTAGTTTAAGCTCATTTTGGACAGCAGGATAAAATGTAGAGGTATGGGGCCATATTTCATCCCTGCTTTGATTTTCCTTCTTGTGTTGTAGCAAATAAAAGAGGTTTGCAGGGAAGGAATGGAAGAGAGCATGGATGCTCTCCAAGGCTCTGCATACATCTGGGACAACGCTCTTTGCTCCATCACCTGTCATTAATAAATGCAGTTGGGTAAGGAGCCAGAGAGCTATTTGCCATGCAGCTGTTCTTCCCACAAATCTTTATCAATCACCTACAGAAAGAGGGGAAGCAATTTCAAGTCTTTTTCAAAGCAACTAATTTCACTCAACCACCCTGCAGAAAGCCTGGGCTTTGGGTTGGATTTGGTGTTGTTTCTCCTTGCACATGTAAGAGGTGGGGCTTGGGACAACTCTTGTATGGGTTTCACATCACTGGTTGGTAATAAAATCACCTGTTGGTATGGTAGAAGCACAAACACTTGGGTTTTTTTCCCCATTAATGGGAAGAGGGTGGGGGAAGAGGGGTGTACAAATGAGCCAGAGTTCCACAGCTACCACAGTTGACCCTTTTGGAAAAGAACAATTTTCAGAAGTTTTTGTGTTTCTCCTTGGGGGTTTTGGCTCCTGAACTAATTAAGTAGCAACAAAGCAGGGAGGAGATCAAGTGACAAAACAAAGGCTCAGAGACATTTTCAGAGGCCTAAGGTAAAGTAGTTGGAGGGATCTTCTAATAATCACAGAATCACCATGGTTGGAAGAGACCTCTGAGATCATCAAGTCGAACCACAAAAAAACCCCCAAAACCAACCAAAAACACACACAACCCCCCACCACATCACCCCCACCCACAAACCAATAATCTTGGGCACTAGAGCATGCCCTGAAGAGCCACGTCTACACATTTCTTAAAGTCCTTCAGGGATGGCGCCGCCACCAGCTCCCTGGGCAGGCTGTTTCAGTTCCTGACCACTCTCTCAGTAAAGTAATTCCTCCTAATATCTAATCTAAACCTCCCCTGCCGCAACTTCAGACCATTTCCTCTGATCCTGTCATTATTCCCTTGGGAGAAGAGGCCAACACCCACCAACACCCACCTCTCTACCTCCTTTCAGGTAGTTGTAGAGGGCAATGAGGTCTCCCCTCAGCCTCCTTTTCTCCAAACTAAACATGCCCAGTTCCCTCAGCCTCTCCTCATAGGACTTGTTCTCTAGACCCCTCACCAGCTTGGTGACTCTCCTCTGGACACACTCCAGCACTTCAAAGCCCTTCCTGTAGCGAGGGTCCCAAAACTGAACACAGTACTCAAGGTGAGGCCTCACCAGTGCTGAGTACAGAGGCACGATGACTTCTCTACTCCTGCTGGCCACACTATTCCTCATACAGGCCAGGATGCTGTTGGCCTTCTTGGCCACCTGGGCACACTGCTGGCTCATGTTAAGCCAGCTGTCCACCAACATTCCCAGGTCCTTTTCTGCTGGGCAGCTTTCCAGCCACACATTTATAGAAACTTTCTGTGTTGTCTCTTATATTAATGGCCAGGTTGAGTTCCAGCTGGGCTTTTGCCTTCCTAATTTTTTCTCTGTATAACCTAACAAGATTTCTGTACTCCTCCTGAGTTACCTGTCCCCTCATCCAAAGGTGGTAAACCCTCCTTTTTTCCTTAAGTCCCATCAAGAGCTCTTTGTTCATTCAGGCTGGCCATTTTCCCTGCCCTTTAACTTTGCACTGATGGGGACAGCCTGCTCCTGGGCCTTTAGGATTTCCTTTTTGAAGAGCATCCAGCCTTCCTGGACCCCTTTGCCCCGCAGGATTATCTCCCAAGGGACTCTCCCAACCAGTGTCTGAACAGGCTGAAAATCCACCCTCTGGAATTCCAAGGTGCAGGTTTTGCTAACCCCCTTTCTTACCTCACTAAGAATTGAAAACTTAACCATTTCATGATCGCTAAGCCCAATATGACCTCCGGCCTCCACATCTCCCACTAGCCCCTCTTTGTTTGTGAAAAGTAGGTATAGCAAGGCACCTCCACTGGTAGGCTCACCTACCAGTCGTGTCAGGAAGTTATCTTCCATACACTCGAGGAACCTCCTAGCCTGCCTGCTCTCTGCTGTGTTATTTTTCCAGCAAATATGTGGTAGGTTGAAGTCCCCAACCAGAACATGGGCTGGCGATTGGAAGACTGCAGCCAGCCACTTATAGAATACTTCATCGACTGCTCATCCTGGTTGGGTGGTCTACAGCAGACTCCCAGCACAAAAATCCACCCTTGTTAGCCTTCCCTTTCACCCTTACCCATAAACACTCAACTTCATCATCGCTGGAGTCTAGTTCTATACAGTCAAAACACTCCCTAATGTACAGACCTACACCCACCCCCTCCTTCCTTGCCTGTTCCTTCTGAAGAGCTTGTAGCCACTCATCACAGCATTCCAGTCGTGACCGTCATCCCACCACGTTTCTGTGATGGCAACTACATCATAGCTGTCCTGCCGCACAAGGCTTCCAGCTCATCCTGTTTGTTGCCCATGTTACATGCATTAGTGTAGATGCACTCGACCTGGGCTATTGATTTCACCCCCATCCTTGGCCCTTTACCCTCAGGCTCATTACCAGTGGGCTTGGTTTTATCCCCTTCCCCCTTAACTTCGAGTTTAAAGCTCTGTCCATGAGCTTTGTTAACTTCTGGCCCAGTACCCTTTTCCCCTTCTGGGACAGGGTTTTCCCATTGTTCACAAGCAGAAATTTCTAAGGGTCTATCCCTTTTCTCAAATGAAATGACAGAGTGAGAGTCCTCACTAATGCAGCATCCTTCAAGTCCTGGCATGCTTCCCTTCGGTTTAATCCTGACAGGCCCAGTTATCTCCCCTTCCCCCCTCATATCTAGTTTAAAGACCTGTCAATGAGCCATGCTAACTCCTGCCCCAAAAGTCTTTTCCCCCTCTGGGACAGGTGTATCCCACCTGCCACCAGCAGGCCAGGTGTCTCGTATAGTCGCCCATGCTCAAAAAAACCCAAATCCCTGCCGATAGCACTAGTCTTGGAACGACAAGTTGACCTGTTGCCTCTTCCTATCAATTTCCTTATTCCTGGTTGCCACTGAAGGGACAGAAGAGAAGACAACTTGCATTCCTGATCCCTTGAGCAGCTGTCCCAAGGCTCTAAAAATCTCTTTTAATTGATTTTGGCCTCCTCCTACCCATTTCTTCACTACCCACCTAAAATACTAACAGGGGGTAATAATCAGAGGGGTTTACTAGGTCTGGGAGTTTGTCCATCACATCCCTGACCCGTGCCCCAGGGAGGCAGCAGACTTCCCTGTGAAGCAGGTCAGGGCAGCATATTGGTCCCTCTGCCCCCCTCAGCAGAGAGTCTATGGTGCTGGGTCTATGGTGACATGTACTGTCTGACTTCTCTATTCTGGGTGTGCCATCCTCCTCTCCATCAGCCAGTTCCTCCCGCAGGACTCCATACCTGTTCTGCAGGGGTAACTGGGGAGCTGGCAGGGAGGGGACTCACCTGCTTCCCTGAGCAGGGACCTGTTTCCATTCCTCCTTTTCTCTGAGATGTCCTCCTATTGCTTGGTGACAAGAGGGGAGGGGGTCCTCCAATTTACACGGCACCTCAACCTGTTCCTGTGCTCTCAAGGAGTGAGCCCACCAGTCAATTTCTCTCTTGCACTCCCTGATGCTCCTCAGCCTCTCCACTTCATCCTTCAGCTGGGCCACCAGGTTGAGCAGATCATTCACCTGTTCACATCTGATACAGGTGTTGTCCCCACTGCCTGCCATTCCAGTGCCAGGCGCCAGCACTCTCTGCAGCCAGAGGCCTGGACGCCCACATGTTTGCGTGGGGCCTCTGTCTGGGTGCCCACAGCTTTCCTAAAAACAGCCTTTGACCAGGTAGAAACCATAGCTGAGCCCCCCAGGCTGACTGAACATACCTTGTAGTCGAGTAGAGGCACAGTGCCCATCCGCACAGACTGCAGCTTCTGCCCCCACTGGGGCATGAACCCAGCACAGGGTGCTCACTCTGTGGACAGGGACTAGTCTCCTAGTTTTCTTGTTTTCTCCTAGGAAGACTCCTTGAGGCTTCTTATCACCTGGAGGCATGATCAACCAGGGGTGGTGGTTGCTCCACCCAGGCTCCGTCAGCAGCACCACCCACCAGCTGACAGCCCCCATAGCTGAGCCCCCCAGGCTGACTGAACATACCTTGTAGTCGAGTAGAGGCACAGTGCCCATCCGCACAGACTGCAGCTTCTGCCCCCACTGGGGCATGAACCCAGCACAGGGTGCTCACTCTGTGGACAGGGACTAGTCTCCTAGTTTTCTTGTTTTCTCCTAGGAAGACTCCTTGAGGCTTCTTATCACCTGGAGGCATGATCAACCAGGGGTGGTGGTTGCTCCACCCAGGCTCCGTCAGCAGCACCACCCACCAGCTGACAGCCCCAGGTCAAGCAGAAGGCTTGTCCCAGCTTCAAAAAGCTCCAAAAAACCCCCAAAAGAGCTTCTTGTTGGGCCTTTTTGCTACAGATCCCTTCCCCAGTGCAGTCTTACCTGCCCTGAAGCTGGTCTCCGTGGCAATGACTGATGGGACCTGCTGATGAGTTTATGGGTCCCTGGTGGTGTTTCAGGCCCCAGGTGCCACCATCAGTTAGAGGTGGGCTGAGCTCCCAACGTTCCCTATTGTAAGGCTGGTTGAGGAACAGCAACATGCCTCCAACCTGTGTCTGCCACACAGGCAGCCCCAGCACCTTCTGTCACACAATTCTGGGACACCAATCATCACTCTATGGCCAACAGTGAGGTCACATTGTCCTTGGAGGGCTGTTTTCTCCCAGGTGACTCCAGAGACAAGCTTGGGATTAGGGATCTGCACTAGGGATGCCTTATGCGAAGTAAGACTTGCCCCCAAACAAAAGACCAAGATCCGATGGTTCTAACCATCTTGAGATGCTCAATCTGACTCTTCCTTCCCCCTCTGCTTCCCTGTGTTCCTAGGTCCCTACTCAGACTTTCTCATGCATCTCCCAGAAGCCACAGCTGCAGGGAATTTAGCCAAAAGACACTGCCAAAAGTGCCTCTGGCCACTCTGGTTCTGATAGGGAGGATAACAGTTTGTTCCTCTTTATTGCCCTGCCACTGGCAAGAAGCCCAGGGTGCAGCTCTGCATGCACACAGCCTGCAGCATCCAGGCTGTTTCTGATCTCACCCCACCGGTGGTGACCAGTGATGCCACGGGGGAGGGTAGGATTTAATCTCTCCTGGTCCTCACCCTGACCCCTGAATTTAGTATGGAAGCAGAGGTTTAGCTGGGAGGTCTGGACTGCAACAGCTGATCACGAAGCATCATTGTGATGGGGAATTAAAGCAGAGCATGGAGATAACTCGTGTCCACATTTCTCCATCCATCCCACCGGCAGCTCACCGGCTGTTTTATCAGCTCTGCTTTCCAGTCTGCAGCCACAATGTGCCTCCAACAGCGTGACTGGCAGCATTTCCATTGACACGTTCCCTGGGATCCCTGCTCCCACCAGAAATCGTTTCCATTTCTCCTTAGAAAAAAAAAAAAAAAAAGAAAAAAGTGCTTTGAACATTTTTCATGTCAGAGCTAATTCTGCAGCGCTTCCCTTTGGCTAACATCCGCCGTTTCCCCACTCAGCACGGAAAGACAACACTTTAATAACCAAAGCGAGATGCATCCACCCCTACCAGCACATTAGCACCGTTTGCATAGAGATAACGGATGGTAAATTGTTGTCTCTGCTTTAAACGTCCCCTCGCAGCAGTTGTACATCAGATGCAGGATTTCACTTGTGCTTTGTCTGCAATTGCAGCATGACGGGGGATCGTTGGTCTCCATCGGGTCCTGCCTGCAGGTCTCTCCTCCGAACCTCCACAGATGCCCCTGGTTCATCTCTGTCCTGGGGGCTACACAGGTTGTAGGACCTAATGGGAATTAGTGAAAATCCCTTCACCTGCTCTTGCTTCAGCATTTGTCCCTGTCTGATGTCTCTGGTTGGCAAAGGGAGGGAGGCTCAGTTCTGTTGTGGGCACAGCCAGTACCCCCAAAAACTATGCTCAAACCCAGACGTGATAGAAGTGAGGGTCAGGCAGAGCCTCCTGTAGATATTACGGGTGCTCCTGCTCCAAAATCTCTTCATCCTAAATTTAGGGTGATTTCCAGGCTTACTTGAAGTTGTACTTGCTATATACTTGCTATAACCCAGAGCAGGGATGTCCTAACCAGCTCTCTGCCCTGTATCGATCAAACCAGCACGCACTGTCCTGGTGCATAGCCCGCAGGAGTGAGGACAGACCCTGTGACCTGAGGTCTCTTTCAAGGTCAGGTCCTCCCTGAAACCCGGCAGCTGCTGGTACCCACCATCAACACCTGGCCCTGGACAGTCCCCCACCAGCTTTTTGGGATGCTGACCTTGGTCCAGCAGCCGCCTGCCAAGGAGCAGGGAAAATACATCAGACCTGCAACATTTTCACAGCATGTTTCAGGTTCAACTGGCTGGAACTTTCCCAGGAAATTTTCTTTGTGTCGGCAAAAGCCCAGCCACTGAAACAGCCCACACATCGTGGGAAGGAAATGGCTTTGATGAGAGTCCTGGGTCTGGCCCTAAGACTCAGGCTTTGTTGCCCTTCTGCATCCTCAGTTGCTTCATGCATGCATGAAGACAAACATGATTTTCGGGAAGAAAATATGCAACACTTCTGGGTTTGACCTTGAACTCACTTTGTGTTTAGGAACCGACTTGAATTTCACTCAGTATTTTTATATAAATTTTATATACATTTGTTTTCTAGATTTTTTTTTTCCACTTCAAATTGGCAAGAAAACATTCAATTTGCCTCTAATCAATTTTCCTGTGGTTTATTCTTTTTTTTTTTTCTTTTTCTTTTTTAAAGTTGCCAAAAATAACTCACAGATGTTCGAGGCATGAACAGAAGTCTCCCTGGCTGGCATGAACCGCCATCCTCCCTCCTCCTCCATCTTCCCTCCTCCTGTGCCCTGCGGGATGGTGCAGCTCCAGCCACCCCCAGTTATTTCCACCCACCCACCCAGGTTACGCAGTGGAATCTCAGCAGTAGTGGCTTCATGTGCCACTAATTGCGGGTGCAATTATTCCCATCCCTGCTACATCTTGCAATGCCTCCTTCTTCCTCTGCTGGCACTGGCTTTGAGCTAAATCTGCTCCAAATTGTTCCCACAGCTTCACATGCATCACCCCACATGGGCAGCACAAGTGGCCCCAGGGCTTGAGTGGGTCCGCGTCCCCTTCACAGGTGGCATTGATGTCTCCATGTCAGCAGAGTTGGGTTTTCACCTGCTGCCCTTCCTGACTGATAGGCAGCAGATCAGAGCTGGGTTTCCAGCCAAGCACAGGGCATCCGAGTCTCACCACTCTGCCAAACTCCCCCCATTTCTTCCAGCTGCCCTTACAGCATGGAACCAGTAAGCTCAGCAGATGCACCAGCCTGGACCTGTGGGCACGGACAGCCCGGCATCACAGACAGGAGCAAGGGGGTCAGGAAAATGCATGTGTGCTTTATTCATGGATATGTTTGAATATTGACATGTACAGAAGAGATAAGTACAGGTTATACCCCAGCAGCAGAGGCAGGTATCAACCATCCTCCCCTACACGCACGTGCACACACCCCCCCAGCCTTCAGCGTCACCATCGCTCCATCACTGGCCACCCGCTGTGGTGTCTCCCTCCCTGCTCGTGCTCTTGCTTTGACAGTCATGTGGGATTTGTACATACACAACATTTCACAGGTTTTCAGGACTGCCAAACCACTGGGAATGGTGCTGAGCAGCCAAAAAAATAGAGTTTGGTGGCTACGGAAAGCTTGGCTGATTCTTTTTGTCTTACTTTTCCCTTGACTCTTCTTTGTGCTTTTGAAAGTCTTTAGGTATGGAGTAATTCCTAAAAAATTGTCTCCCTTTCTCTCTCTCGGCTTGCTCAGTCCTTTGCTTTTACAAGCAGCTGTATGACTTTGGTGGTTAGTCAAGAGGCTTAAAAATGAAGATCCATGGTTCACTTCGCAGAGTTCAGCAGAGATGAAATGTCATAAGGAAAATTACTGACTTTTCACAAGGGAAAAAAAATTGCTTATGCACACATGTGTTTGGAGGTGGTGGGGAAATGTAATTGGGTTTCCTGCTCCAAAAGGACTGCTCAAAAGCCATCTTTTCTTGAAAATTTTAATTTGTGAACAGGCTTGGAGGGGGAATTGACATTAAAAATTGACAAAAAGGGTGAAATGATGAGGAAAAAATCATGCAGGCTTTTGCATCTTTTTTTTTTTTTAATTCTGCACAATGCAACTGATCACCCCCCACCGCACCCACCCCCCAGGATCTTCCCTGCTGGGCAAGAGACTCATTTCTCTGTGCCTTACTCACTTCATTTTGAAGCATTCCCAGATGGCGGGGAACCCCTGGGAGAGCAGGACCTGGCCTGGGACAGTGCTTGAAGGATGCAGTGTCCCAACTCATAGCACAGGGCAAAGGCTGCGGAGAGGGACTGCGTTTTCAGACCTGCAACCTCTACTGTGCAGATGTTTTTCAGGTCCCCCTAGGGCATGAAGAGGAATCCCATGCAAAGTCCAGCAGACACCCATTTACACTAACTCACTGCAATTTTTGCAGGGATCACAGCAGACCATTGCCATATTTTCTGGATTTTTCATGCAATGCCTCTGTGATACGATCCATGGTAGCTGGCTGTCACCTTCCACAGCCTTGGGGCAGTTTTAGCTGTTGGTTTGCCATCCTACCAAAACTGAGGACTTGAGAAGAGACTGCAACGGGAATCGAGGATCTCTTTGGCCTGTAGTGCTCAGAGAAAGCTAACATCCTAAGGAGCCTTTAAAGCAAGATATAAATCCTGGGGAGGATGTCTCTCACCGGAATTGTTAAAAACCGTTTAAGATAAATATGCCTGAAAGTGTAAATGTGGCCTCCTGTGGGACATGGTAATGGACTAGGAAACCTCTAGAGGTCTCCTCCATCTCCGGTAATCTGAGTAGGTTTCTCCACACCTACTTTTCACAGCATACCAGTCCTAGGGGGGAGCTGAAGTGGGGTTGCCAATCATCCTGGCCACATAGAAAATATCTATCTCTGCTGGATGTCAATTAGAGAAGGAAACGGCAAAGTGCCCTTTTGACGCCAGTGAGTTATAAGAGGCACAGGAGTGGGGCCATGAAAGACTGTAGGAGTGAGTTCTTCTGGAAAGCAGCTGCCAGTTGCACGCCTGTCCTACACAGAGGCTCAGCCCATGAAAGAAAATTAAAGGCTGATGGAGACCTGGCTTGCTGGGGCCAGATGTGTAGAAGAACAAGGCATGACTACAGGACTTTAAGGGAAAGCAGCAAAAGGCAATTCACAGCATGACCTCATGGTGCTGAGGTAGTTCCTTGCCTTTGAAGGGCTGAATGTCAGGGTTTAATCCCATTCTCACCTCTGCCCTTCTGCCTTAGAGGACACAAGTTTTGCAGAGTTGCAGCTAGTGGACTTGCTGCACAGATGGCTCCACAGTCTCTCAGAGGACATCGCTGTCCTGGATAACAGAGATGTTCACAGCAACTCAGTGCATGGCTGTGGTCCTTTGAAGAGGGGTGAGGAACTTTCCTGCCTGTAACACTACCTTCCTACCTGGTTTTCTGACCAGGGTTAAGCCCCTTGGTAGTGAAGATTTCACATAGAAGTTTCAGTTCAGAATGTGACCTGGCCCCCTGCACACAAGACTTGGATCTTGGCATGGTCCTTTGCACAGTCCTGGGTTAGGACAACCAGGTGCTAAAACCTCGAGGACCTCAAGGAGCAGAACTTTGGACAGAATTCAGCCAGGAAGATTTCTGTGCATGTCGTACACATCCACTGGCATTCATTCCAAAACAAGAGTGGTTTCATATTGGGCCAAAACCCAAGAAAGTTCTTGCAGTTTCTCAGCAAAATCTGAAGCAAAAAAAAAGTAACGGAAAGTGCTCTGTAGGCAACATGAATAAAAAGTGCTGGACTTTGCTGTATCAGCTGCTGATAAGCCTCTCTATGCACCCAAATGCTAAGGAGCTAACAATGTTCCTTGAAGGAGTACAAACCAAGGAATAAGTGGGCTGTTGCAATGCCCAGTCCTAAATACTCAGCAAGAATCTGGAGCTATTCCTGTACCTCCTGTGGCGGTCAGCCTGGGTAAGCATTTATCCCATGAAACCTTCTCACCCTTCCTTACCATGTTCTTTCTTGGCTTGATCTAACGAAGGGTTCAACCCCTCAAGAAGTCACTGGGAGTCTCCAGCTCACCTCCTTGAGGGAAGACCCCTGAATACTCAGGTAGCCCAAGGTCATGCATCTGTCTCCCTGTGGTCTGAGAGACCAGAGAGACATTTCTCTTCACCCTCCAGATGGGCTCTGGCTGCAGTAGAGTGGGTGACTTCACCAGCCTTTGCTTAAACTACATCTCAGCTGAGTAATTAGCACTTAGCAGGAGGCAATGTCCTTCATGTGCTAACCTGCAAGGGCGAGAACCTTAGCAATCCACTCCCTACCCATGACACGATTCATGACTTGCCCTTGGCCAAAAATTGGCTGAATATTTATGCCAACAGGGTTTATCTAGCAAACATTTTCTATCATATCTCTTGCTTGCATAGCTAATGAAACCCCATGACTGAAGACCCTCTGACTCTCTGTGAGACTGGTGGAAGCACAGGTAGCACGTGAGAATGGGTTGCATTGGGCTCGCATCAAGTCCTGCCCATTGGCTCACATGTTCATCCTGCGTGGAGAAAGGTTAGCTTGGAGTAGGATAACATTGGCCTCTGGTTATTTGGACATGACAAAAAAATACCTACCCCAAACACTTTACAGGACCAATGAATAGAGATGCTAGGGTTGGGACACGAAGAAAGCCAGCTGTAAACAAAGCGCAACACACGTGTTTCTTCCTGAACACCATCAATACATGACACACATTTCTATAAAAAGGAGGGCCCAAGGGATAGGTGACAGCTTGGAGATGCACGCTGGCCACGGTTTCAAGCGGGTGTATAATGCCCGCAAACCAGTTCCTGGCATGGTTACTTGAGCCACCCCAGACGTGCTCCAGGATCCTCTCCGATGAACAAACCTTCTCATCAGGGTTCTGGTTTCATCCCTCTGAACCAGGTGGGCTGCCCTTTGGGTCCTGAGCAACCCTGGAGACAGTCTAAACTCCATATCTCTTAACATGTCCTGTCAAGAGCCCCCCACCGTGAGTCAGGGCTTCAGAAAACCTCCTGACAGCTCAGCCATCAAAAATCTTTCCCCTCTTGGCTGGGGCAGGCAAAAGCATTTTCTTTGCAGCTCTCATTACTTGGCTCAACTCTCTCCTTCAGCTTTTCCAAGGAATTGTTCATGGCTTCAACCCCATCTGCAGAGAGCTGGAGAGAAAACAAAGCTGTGGGGTGGAAAGGTGGCCAGGACCAAGAATGAGCTGGTTATCGATGATGCTGATTGTATAAAATCAAATACATTGGCAGACGGATGAGGAGAAGGAAGGGATGCACTCATGCTCACCTCTCCTTCCCATCCCTTCCCTCTTCCCTCTCCTCCCACCTAAAAAGTTACTGGTCTGGTTGTTTTGTAAAGAAACCAACACAAAGGGAGTCTCTGCCTGGCATGTGCCTGCCCTGCTTCACATCACGAAAAGGCTCAGCACAGTAAGAGTGGGAAGAAGCCACATCTGCAGTGGAGAGGCTGCCCAGTGGAAGGAAACTGCTGGGCTGGAGGTCCCTGATGACAGATGAGTGGAGCCCCTCAGGAGCCTCTCCTCTCCAGCCACCTGCAAGAGAAAGGAGGCAGCACAGGGTAAGTGGTGTGGTTGTTTCCCACCTTGGTCCTTCTGAGGATTTAGGGCTTGGGGGATCATGCAGCCTTCCTATGTGTGTACATGTGCAGAGGGATCCATGACTGGTCTCAACACCTCAACTCTAGTCCAGAGGTCAGCTTAGCTGTGTTGGAAGTGGTGGTGACGGTGATGGTAGCACCATGGCATACAGCCGTGTCACCTCATGGGCACAGAACTGGGCATGCAGCCTACAGTAGTTGGAGGTGTCTTTGTGTGAGATGGGTGCCTGGATGCCCATTCCAGTCAATGGAGATCCATGCAACCCATGGAGCCGCTGCTGGCCAGTTGTTTGAGCCAGTGGCCTTTCCAGGTGGAGGATGTCCCTTGGGTATTGAAAACATCTCTATGAGGCTGGCAGAAATTTCACCAAGCAGCAGCTGGAAGCCAGGTGGCTTACTCCAAAGTACAGTACTTGCGTGACTGACTATCCTGGGTGCCTACCCCCTGTAGACAAACTGCACCCTTCTCCTTTAATAGTACATTGACGTCTGTGGCTGAAAATGTGCTTTCCTAGAGACTTGCATTTGAATTACTGGATAACTGAGATAATTTAGAGCCAAGGTTCTGCACTGCTAGGGAGATGGGAAGCAGGTGGACTAATCAGTCCATCATAGCTTTCCTCTTCAGATCCAGGGACATGAACATCATTAAACATTGAACAGACTCTAGGTTTGGAGTCGAGTTGAAAGTCAAGACCCAACTCCCCAGTTTCTCTTGCAGTGTTAGCAGGACCATGCTCCAGCAGCACTCACACTTCAACAGAGGGATGTGCTGCTGTCACGTGGATGTTGGGGATGCAGTAGGACCATCCCTGACTACAGCTGTTTTTCCAGCTTCCCACTTGCTGGTGGCAGTAGCAGTTGACTATCTGGGCTGGACTTTCAGTGATGAGGGAGGTTTACAGCTTCTCCATCACTTCCAGGAACAAAGGTCTCAGTGCAAGGACCTCAGACCACCACTTGGATTGTGCTAAGGTCTGGGGAACACTGTTTAGAAGCAACTCCTCCAAGTCTCCTGGGTGCAAAGTTTCTGGCAGATGAAAGTATGCCTGTGCTGTACATGGCCACCAATGCCCTGAGAAGCAATGAGGGAAGCTGGGGTCACATCTCTGCACCTCCCGACCTGCTGCTTTGTGAAAAGAGAGTGGAGGGAGGTGAATCAGGTGTTTTCCCAGCAAAAGAAACATGGAAGAGGCATCAAAAACCCTGTATGGGGAAGCTCCCTGAAGGTATCAGCTAGCCCAGTGAAAAACCCACGCTTTTCCAACTAGTCCTTGGAGTCTAGTTAACTGACAGCTTCTGTTATGTGAATGTTCAGCGAATCAGGGTCACTGTTAATTATTCAATAGTAAAATAATTCAATCTGAAAATTACTCTGGTGGGTGGCAAATCAAGGTCATTTCTTTTTATTTAAAAATAAAATATTTAATGCCTACTACTGCCATCATGAGTAAATTCATCTGTTATTTGTTTTAAAATAATTTCAATTTAATATTACTTTGATACTAACAATTTCCTGATGTCTAGAACCTTTCAGATGAAAATTTCCAATGCTTAGCAAACATTAGTCAGTTAAGCCTCAATGTTATGATCGCCAGGATCCTCACCTAACAAGGGAGGAATCTATGTCTCAGGCAGTTGAAATGCTTGTGCCAAACCAATGGACCTGGTTCCCCTTCTACAGTCCTGAAAAACCCATGGATTTCCCAGTACTTCTGAAAAAAACGTATCTCTCCATAGCATGCACAAAAGAAAAGAGAAGGTGACCAACATGAAGGAGGGCAGAGTCAGGGTGAGGATCATGTAGACCTGTGCTTTGTGTTGGAGAAGAATATGTCAGGGCATGAAGAAGAGGGTGAATCAGGGACCCAGAGGTGGAGGGGAGTTTGAATATCTGCACATAGCTGAAATGGCACAGGTGGAAGAGGGAGCTGAGGTGAGGAGGGCTAGAGGGCACGGAGGAGGTATAGACACTGCCAAGCATCTTGGGGCCAGGTCAGCCCCCTCCTACCTTGGTGGGCTGGAGGTTCTCAAAGATGTTCTCTCTGAGGGTTGCCACAGCTCTGTTGGCATTTCGCTCCTGCTTGTACATCTGTGTGGTGGGGTGGATGGATGGGGCCACAGCTGCATTCAGGTAGGTTCCATTGCCAAAGGCCAGAATGGCATTTTCTATGTATGGGAAAGAGATGAATAAAAGTGTTGCCAGGGTAACGGTTCCAAGGCAAAGCACAATCATCCCTTCTCCAACCTCCTTCGACTGCATCACCAAAATGCATGCCCGAGGGTCTTCAGAGCTCCTTTGTTGAAAGCGCAGGGAGCTGGACACCAACAGACCCTTGAGGACCAGGGCATCTTCATACCCTCATTCACAAGAAGCCTCACCAGCTTGCGGGCGATGCTGCCGTAGCAGCAGTGTGCTGGGAGATACTTACGGAGACAGATGTTGTCAGTGAAGAGGTGCAGGAAGCTCTCACACTCTTCTTGCCGGTTGCCGCTGGCATTGCACGTGCACCAGGGAGCTATGCTGGACGTTGAGTTGTCAATGTAGTTGGGTGTGATGGGGCTGCCTGACAGGAAGGATGGAGGAGTGTTACTGCATGGCTGGTACTTCAAGAAGAGACAATGATTTACTTCCTTGCTGCCCTGCTTACAGCCTCAGTCCCTCCATAATGGCAGCACCAGAAAACCATTCAAGCGCTGGTGTCACAGGTCTGTTTTGCTCCCAGGGAGAAGAGGGGCAGTTGCAACCCTTTTGTTAACCCCACCACCAACAAAGCCTTCACTCAATTAAACTGTGCTATCAGTCCAAGGGATGGGTAGCTCTTGGGAACTCAGGTTCCCTAACAACATTAAAAACTGTATGTGAATATGTATAAAAGTTTCTACACTGCCATTGAAAAAGCCAAACTCAATCTCCAGAATGGTCAGAGACAGCAAAGGAAGGATTAAACCAGAATGAAATCTTGACCTAAAAAGCTGTTAATCTATTCCATCCGTCAGGATGGACCGAGTCCATGGCCATTGTCATTTCTCTTTGGACTCTGGCTGTGCTAACTGCTGCCAGCTGGGCCTCTGCAGCATCTGAAAAACCAATTTGACATCCTCTAAAGTCAGCAAGATGGCATTGGATGGTGATTTCCAGTGGCATCACTGGTGATGGCATCAGGGAACCCCTGACAGAGCAGATGTCCTGGGACAGCCCATCTATTTCCACCTGAGAACAGAAGCTGGGATCTTGGAGCAGCCCATGCTGCATGGCTTTTCTCCCTCCAGTGCTCATGGCTTAGGTTCCTTCTCTAGTCACTGCAGAGAGAAAGCCCAGCATCTCTCTGAGATCTCGGTCTCAGCTGCCTACCTTACTGTCCTCATAGCTTTCCCACCCAGAGGAGACAATTCCCACCCAGAGAGTGGGAGAGAAACCAGCAGAAGGATGCAGCCTCTTACCTATGATCCCTGTATATGCCAGCAGACAGGCAGCATAGCTGTCCCTCCGGCAGCCGCTCGCCGCCTGCAGGGATGGCTGGCAATTAAACTGGAACTCTGCATAGCGTGACCTGATGGAGCGAGAGCACAAAATGGAACACATTAGCACAGATATTCGAGGCAAAAAGGGACATAATAGCACGCTGGTGGTGTTTACAGAAGGGAGCATATTTGCAAAATCCTTTGCTGCTGTAGGTGTTGCTAAACCAGTTTGAATTAATTTCACTTTATACTCTCCTGCCCCTCTCAACAAACGCAGAGGTGGATTTTATCCTTCTGAAATGAGACATGAATAGGTGCTGTAGTTAATGTCTTACAGGCTTCCTCTGGGACTGCAGGAACGGTCCAGCCTTGGAAGAAATGTTTGTTTTCTGGTGTGTGAAGCTGGTTTTTGAGGGAAGAGCTGTTGCAGGCAGTGAGGGAATTCATTTTGTATTGCCATTATCTGACTTTTGAGTAATAACTTCCCCTAGAGACCTAAACATTCATTTTTTGGCCGATTTTGCTGGAAGAGAGAATCACCCTGGTCCAGTTTCTTTCTCTTCAAAGACTGTGCTTTAAATGTAGCTGAGGTCATCCTCAGATTAAGGGAAATGCCCAAAGGCTCAGATATGAAATGCTCTGTCCGTCATCAGTACTGCTGGCACATCCTCTGCTGCAGGCACCCATTCTCAGAAGAAGGTTGGACTCCCTGGAGTCTGTGGAGCGAGAGGTATATGACATACAGCTCTGACCACAGACCACTGTGCCTCGTTTTCTATGTTGTCTAGGTCAAAACACCAAACCACTTAACACAAAGCAACTTTGAGTCATGCACTGGGTTTGTTGGGACTGTCTGGGCCATGCAGGGAAGTAGGCGCATCATCCAGACAGATTTACAGATTGCTCTTTGCATGTAGCTCCCCTGCTAGCTTGGTTGAATAAACTCTGTTAATCTTGTTGCCAACCAGATATTTGCCACCTAATTCTTTAGGAATGACTCAGTTGTTGGCGCATAAGGATCTAGTGGTGTTTGGATATTGTAGGATATCTAAGATATCCATGTGGGACTTTCAGGTAGGAGATAAGACCTTCTAGAGATACAGATCCATCTAAACAGGCATCCTGTGGCCAGGTGAGAAGGCACCTCACATGGCATTTGAGCTGCTTAGAAAACTTAAGCAAGCACTAGCACTGTCGACACTTGAAGGTAGGTTCCCATAGAGAACAACCTGCAGTGTCTGGGCTGTGAACCAGGTACCTCAAATGTTTGCTCTGCCTGTGCAATGTCAGAAAAGCTGAGACAGCTTCTGTCTTCCAGACAGTTTGTAAACGCTCCTGGTCAGTGTCAGCACTCGGACTTGCATTTTCCTGTCCATTTCCCCCCTCCTCCTCAGTCTTCTCCTATTTTTCTCTTCTTTACTCACATGTTTGCTCCATACCAACCCCTTTCTCCTGTGCCACGGCCAGGCAAACTCTTCTCGCCCAAATTCTTGCTGCATTATTTAGAGGAGGGAGGTACTGATTGTAGGTTTTGTATTATTCATGTTAGTAGAGCCCACCCCTACAAGCTGGGAAACCCAAGTGGTTACAGCTGTGAAGAGGCTGCAGGAGGACTAAGCAGTGCAGGCAGGGTTAGCCCTGGAGTATTTTACTCTGTTTCTTTAAAGTGCCATGATTTGTTCCTGGCTCTCCTTGTGGTTTCTGCAGTGCTAGCTTTGACCAGGTCACACGTCAATCCCTTGCTCCCGCCGTGTCTCTAGAGGATGTTTTATATTATATATTCAGAGACCAAGGAACCAGATAATTAACAGCTGTGCTGTTTGCAGGAAATGGTTTCCAGCCTCCTGGGAAGCAACACTCCCTGTTTTGAACCTTTTCTTCCCTGCTGGGTCTGCTTGTCTTGTTAGAGAAAGGGCAGTACCCGTCTGTTTCAGATACTCTGGGTAGTTGGATGAAATCTGAGCAAGAGCTGGTGTGGCTCAGGGGCTTTGCATCTTTCAGACTCAGCTTCAGATGTGTAGCTCAGTTGTTGTCCTTCATCCATTTTTCTGGGGTGCAGAGGGGTGAGGATGTTAGTGCCAGTGCATCCTTCCAAGAGGAGGATTCTGCTCTCACCTCCCTTTGAGAAAAGACGTAATTTTAAAATTGATATTTAAAGATAATGTGCTGGTAGGCGATGCCTGCTGGGTGTTCAGCTCAGGAAGTCCCAAAGCCCACAATAATTAGAGACTGGGACAATACTGGGAGATGTGTCCTATGCTGTTGTGTTCTCTTCCAGGTGTCTGCTCATGGCTACAGCTGCACACAGGACACTGGGCTGGGACCACCACATTTGGTGCAATACAGCTGCTGGTGCCATCTCACATCTCTTACTGGCAGATGGGCTCCACTCCTGAGAGTTGTATGTGGATTAACCTTCTGGAACATCAAAGACTTTTTGAGAAATAGAGGGGTGAAAAATAGTACAGCTTAGGGAAAAGCACTTAAGGGGTATGCCTGTGAGCATGCATATTGGGATGGATCTGTGCATGAGTGCATGTTTGGGGCTTAAATGGAAGCAGAGGAGCAAACCACCCTGGCCACATGCTGCATGGTGTATCTGGACTAAGAACTATGACTTTGAGACTCCTGTTGCAATCAATGGAACATCCAGCCTTGCAGCAAAAGGGTACAATATTTACATATATAATTAATATTTTCTAATTAAAAAAAAAAAGAAAGCCATGGTTTTATGGTATCTACAAGTGCCTGTGGCTGTTAGGACAGCTTTGGTGCTCCTGTAAGATGCTGGGCGCTAGGGGAGGTAGCCATTGAGAAGACAGATTGGTGAAAGTGACTGCAAGCACGCCAGACCCCATCCTTGCTTAGCTTGCAGCTTCCTGGAACTATTTCCATAGCAGGTATTTCTTTAGGACCAAAGCCAAAAACCCATAGAAAAAAACCCCAATCCACCACAAGCTTCTCAAAACTTTTCTTGTCTGTTAACGTTTTCTGTATAGAGTATGAGACAAGGATGTGGGTCATGGGAGGGAGCTACTCAGGCAATGGCCTGTGTTGGTGTGATGGGTGCCTTCAGACAGGATCCTTGAGGCAGGTGCATTGGCTCTGGTTGCCAGGCTGTCAGCAGTGGATGAACCCCAGGCTTGTCCAAGGGACGGCTCTCCATGTCATCCACCCCAGTGCATGAACATTACCTGCAGACGTAGTTTTCCCGGCAGGAGTCCAGAGGTGCCAGGCAGTTGGGCTTCTCCTTGGACTCATAGGAGCAGGCAGGAACGATGGTCTGCCGCCGACGCTCGGCACAGGCTGTGTCATCGCAGGGGCAGAAGAGCAGCTCATGGGTGTACTCGGGCGGCACGCGGTCGAAGAACTTGCGCAGAGCCTTGTGGCACTTGGAGCGGTTGCAGGTGTCGGCCCGGGCCAGGCGCCGGATGCAGAAGGAGACATACTCTGTCCGCAGCCGCTGGCACATCTCATCCACGTTGCAGGCTTTGGCGGCGTCCAGGCACCGGTTCACCTGGGTCACCTCGTTCTCAGACCCTGTGAGGTGGTGGGAGATGGTGATGGGGTTTTGCGGTAACATTCCCAACAGCACCACCACCCCATGCTGAGACCTTCATCCCCATCCTGCTCCCATCCTTGGCCACCTTAGTGAGGCCACCAGCCACCCTAGGAAGGCAGTGGCCTAAGTGAGAGCTGTCTGCTTCTCAAAGACCCACAGCAGTGCTTTGGCTTTCACCATCCAGACCAGTCCTGCCCAGTATGCCCAACTTCTAAGCAATGACACTGCCTTCACGGGATGGGGATCAAAGCTACAATCCAATCTGATGCCCTGGGACCTTCATGCTGCCTGTATGTGAATGTATGTGGGTCTCTCTCCACACTCTTTGCAAGGTCACCCCTTCGCTGGCTTCAGCGAAATCACTCTGCATTTCCACCCTCTTAAAAAAGAGGGAACAAAAGTCCAGGATTAGCAGTCTGGGTGGGAGATCGGGGGTGTGCTGCGGGGATGCAGGGAAGGTGGAGGAAAACCTGCAGCAGGGGGACCAATCAGGAAATAATGCAAAATCTGTGGTGACGGATGAGAAACACACTGGTTTTGGTAGGCAAAGAAGGGTCTTGAGTTTATATGCCAACGACCTCCTCTGCAAATAAGGAAATAGGTAAGAGTGAAAGATATTTGTATAACACTGATTTTAGGTCTCCTCCAAGGATGGTTTGGGCTCTTTCTATACAGGGGAAAATGTTACATAGTCTCTGATTGGTCAAGACATTAGGCTCTGTCAGATCAGAGAGAGAAGATGAGGGTCCTTCAAGCATGAGAGAGAAAATTAATTTGAAGTCGTTTCTCACCTCTCTGAATTAAGCCCATGACCTGAGGCACAACAGAAGGCCTTTCTCCCCAGCAGAGAAGAGGTTTTCACAGAGGAAAAATTCCCAGAATGATAAATTTCCAATGCAGAATCAAGCCCTATCTTTGGCCAGGAGTTAAAACCAGCAAGTCACTGCTGACAAGTGTTAAAACATTGACAGTCTCTCTGAGCACTTCAAAACTGGCTGCCTTCCTTCATTTTCACTGACGTTACCAGATTTTCCTTCTCTGAGCATTTATTTTTCCCTTCCCATTGTCTCCACTGCTTGCGGTGAGCTGGAAATCAAATTTCAAGTGTTGCAGCTATTTTATGATGGATGAAACTGATGCTCAGTGTGTTCCTACCACGTAGGTACTTCCCTTTAAAAATGGCCAGAGATGAATATTCTTGGAGCATTGGTTTATGCTGGGGAGCTGTCAGCAAACATGTAGGAAACAGTTACTTGGAAGGGTCTCATTAACCATTCAGTTAATGAATCACAAGGAACACACTAGCTTTTCTCCTCTTCCCACGCAAAAACAGAGGATGTGCTTTTTTAAATCACTGCCACAGTTAGAGAGGAGATGTATAATTCCAATGGTACATTTTTTAATAGTGGCCATATATTGTTTATGCAAAATTTGCTTAAAAATACCAGTGGCTCTGACTTAGCATAGGATCATGGGGATATCTTGTGTTTCGCCAGTTTTTTGGGGATTTTTTTTGGGTAGATTTGAAAGGGGGTCCTTTGCCAATGTTGACTGTATAATCCTGGGCCCTGGACAGGCACAGGGTGGCAGCTCATAAGATGTATTATAGAAGGTGTTGATGAGTGTAAATAGGGGAAAAAAGGTTAAACCAAGAAATGTCATGTCCCTAGATGGGTGCTGAGTCCTTTGCTACATATCCTTGCTACTTCAGGCCCATTCACTTTGCTGCCCAATGAGTTTCAGTCTGCTTTAAAAACCTGAAAATATGTTAACCATGCATAAAAATCCCTGGATTTCACCGTACTCTAAAGAGCCCTATAGGACTTCAGTGAAAGAGGAAAAACTCTAGTAAAGGCCATGACCTGGCAAACAGCTTTGTGCATGCTTCACTTTCCATGCTCAAACCAGTCAAGTGGAGTCAATAAGAAGATGTGAGGTCAGGGAGCACACACACCCCACTCCCCCCTTTCCCTCGCTGCTCAGATTGTTGAAGGTTGATGGGTTAATTTGCTCCTGGACATTTTCACCTAACAAGTGCCTCGCTATCTGGGGGACTGCAGACATCCATTGGCTGCAGGGACGTGTTGCTCTTTACTCGCTTGGGTGCACTCCAGCTGTGGATGTCACCCCAGAGTCAGGTGCACATTTGGGAAGAGCTGCAGTGGGATTGCTGTTTTGGCACATCTGCCAGAGACAAGCAGGGAGTACCTTACCTGCTCCCAGATGAGTAGTTTGGTAACAAAAATCACCGTCGGTAAAGCTTCCCTGCAGCTGTGGTGCATAAGTAGAGCTGAATGCTGGTTGTGGTGGCAGCTGCGATGTTGATGATGGATGGCTTAATAGCTACTGCACTGACCTTTTAACTGCTGAGCCAGGGGTTCATGCCCTCGAGGGGGTTAAAAGGCATCAGGCAGCTCTGCTCACATTGTTAAGCAGATTACATGATGCAGAGCAAAACATGGGTCTGAGTCCTAAGGAGGTTAAAGGCTGTGGCTGGGATCAACTAGTAGGTTGGGTTATTGACCTTTTTGCCTGAAGAGTTTTCCTCTGTGACTGATGTGGAAGTACGTTCTCATACCTAACAATACCCAAGCAGCCCCCGTTCAGCAGGGTATCTGCATGGCACAGGTCACACACCTGTTATGAAGAATCAGCCCACCTGTGATGGCTCATTGGAAGAGGCCTTTCTACCACGTCCCTCAGTCACAGCCCTTCACAGTATAGACATGAAAAAGCCAAACAATGAAAATCACAAGTGTTCTCCTGATATGTTCTTCTACCAACTGTTTAGCAAAGGAATCCAAGGCAACTCTTTGGAAAAATGATTGCAAGATCTCAGTAACACTTTGTGAAAAGACCACAAGAGGCCACAAAGAGTTGCCTTGCACATAGTGTGTGATCCCACAGCCAGTTTCCCCCTGTTTGAACCAGTCACAGTAAGAGCATCTTCCCACCCACCTACCTGCAGTGATGGATGCCAGCCGGACGTAATCAAAGCCTCTGATGAACGGCTCGTAAGGGGAACTCTCCAGTACGTTCATGCCTGGGTTGAAAAGAGAAGCTAGTGAGAAGGCAACTGAGGCTTCTGAGGGATGTTCAACATGTTTGAGGTTTAACAGATGCAGTGAAGTTTTGCTTTGCGGGTCCAAGCGAATGTGTGCTCTAAAGGTCGTAAGTAAATGGATACTCAGAGTCACAGGATCTGATGTTATATCCTTAGGGAAGGGAATAGGACATAACTGGCTTTTAAAAATATATCACAGCTTTGGAGTAGGACAGCCTCTCAGGGAACTGTTGAGTTGCAACCTTCTATAGCTCAAATATTGGGCCCCTTTATAGGGTTTGTGACTGAGGACATCAGATTGTAGCACAGGGTCTTGCTCACGGGCACAGTTCAAACCACAAAATCTCTCCATATATGGGGTTTCCATCACTGTTCTCGCTATTTCCTGTATGTTTCTCCCTCAGACAATTGTCCTTACCTGTTTCTGGGACACAGCCAGGGCTGTCCACAGGGTTGTGTGTGTGGTAACCCCCACATCTTCATATTTATTAATACCTCTCCCCTTCTCCTTGCCAACAGCTCTTTCTTATTTGGCATAGAGCTAATGACCCACAGCTGCAGCAGAAACTTCCCCTCTTCATTTTTAAGTTGCTGGGAACCTAATTTTATTCAATTGGTGCTTCCCTCTCATCCGCTCAACGGTCTGTAATGTCTTGTCATCCTGATGAATACCACAGAATATTACTGAAGCAAACAGCATAGTATCTTTTTTTTTTTATTAGACATTTAGATGGATATGGACAGCAGCAGCAGATGTACTGGCTGGGATAAAAGGACTATCAAACCTCATGCTCCGGGCATGAGCACCAGCTGTGGTCAGGAAGAAATGGCTCCCAGGGTACGCAGCCCTGTGCAATTACCACAGGTGCATTACAAGGCAGCTTTACACCTTCATTGAAATATCTTGCATCATTACTGACTGGAGAGGCGCCCATTTGTATGTTCCAGCGTAGCAGTTTTATGTCCTGATGATATAGCACCTTATCAGAGAATTGTTATTGGGTTGTCATCATGTTATTGTGTCTCCAAACGGGAAGGTGGCTAAACACAGGCACGCTCAAAAGAAGCTGAGTAAATAGTATGCTTTGTAAATTCCCTGAGCACACACTTCCACAATTGATTTTATAAGAGGGCTTCTAGAAAGCTTTTAACAGCCTCCTGGGCATGTATGACGGAGAGACAAAGCTCTACACGGAGCATGTGGATTGGCTTCCTTTCTCAGTCAATTAAACATGTGTAAGGACTCTGAAACGTGTGACTATTATGAAATATATTTCCCAGGGGAAATTAAGGCAAGGAAATAAAAGGTTTGGGAGTGTGAATCTCCATCGCAAGTGAAGTCAGTGCTTGAAGAAATGTGGGGCTCAGGACATGACAGCGGAGGAGAAATAAAGCAGAGTCTTGGCAGTCTCTGATAACAGCCCTCTCACAGTCATCCCCAAGATGGATGTCGCATGCTACTGGGCAGGAAGCCCATCCAACCTGGCCATCCAGCATCCATCCCCTACTCTGTATCTGGAGACCCACACCTGGCCCCTGCCTGCTCCCAGCACTCTCTGCCATCCTTTCACTACTTTTCCAGCTCCAGGAGATGGAAGTCCTCCTGACACCACTGTCCTGCACAGCCAAGTTTCAGATGAATTCTATCCAAAGCTTCAGGCCACAAAGATCAGCGAGGAAGGAGTTGTGATACAGCCTGTTAAGATGAATGGAGAGGCTAAATTGCCACCTCTTCTCCAGACTTCACTTCAGTGCAAACTAATTCATCTGGCATGTGATTACAGGAAAGACTGAATCCTGAAGGGTGCTGAGGTCTCTTATTTCACCACTCACTTCATAGCACCATGCTCTGCACCCTGCAAGCCATGGCACCTGAAAGCTTTCCGGGAACTTGATGAAGCAGTTCCCATTCTGGCAATTCTGTGCATTACGGTCTCCATCCTCTCTGCTTTGCTTGGCCTTTTGGCCTGTGATATCACCCCTGAACCTTTCCTTTTAGCTCTCAGCCACCAGTGTTTTATTAATCTATTTCACAGTCCATGGCTGGAAGGTTCTGTTTTATTCCCCATTTTAATTTTCACGGTGCATAAAATACTCACCAGCCTGACAAGGAAGAGTTATAGCCACTGAGGTGCACTTTTATGATGACTCTTAAAAACTGTCAAAATCCAAACTTACTAAATACTGGCTCTGGGAACACTTTAAATTCCAACTTGATGTCACCAGCCCCAAATCTTCACTAACCCAAAGACACTGGTGCATTTGAGAGCTTCCAAGAGAGTGATTTTTTTTAAGTTTGTGCTGTTTTTTCCTCAGTTTCCATGCTTTGTATAGTGTTTCTGTAAAATCCATGGCTTTCGTGGTCTTGGCTAGCATACTTAGATGCAATACATACCATGCATTTCCTGAGCAACAGCTTTCAAGATATACTGGGAATGTCATAAAAAAGAGGCCAGGTTAAAAAAAAGAAAGGAGATGTCTCAGATTTTCAGGATTGTTTCCCCCGATAATGTCATTACTGTAGGGGTCAGTGGGTCTTGGGAGGGAACAGGATACTACAAAGGTGACCTTTTTTCCAGCCACTTTGTTGCAGGGGGGCTCTGTAAGAAGTCCCAGCTGTAATATCCTTTTAGGAAGATCATCAGAAATGAGTACCCTGCATGACTGACCTTCCATCAATGTGTGGTGGATGCTCCAGTAGACACTCAAGCAGTGCTTCTCCTTTTTCATGCCTCGCTTGCACTTGCAGCCATACAGCTGGCTGGAGAGCAGGGCCGTCACGGTGCTCCGGCACTGGTTCTTGGCATCGGGGCCCAGCTTGTTGGCTCCATTGCCTGCAATGCATTGCCGGAGGGTCCTGAATTTGGCACTGCAGACAGGGTCATTGGTACAGGACTCGCCTGCTTGAAGGCAGTCCCTGCTTGAGCTGACAGCTTCTGCCATACCTTCTGCAAGAAAACCAGAGAAGGGGTGTGAGGGTGATGGAGCAACCCCAAAAGGGAAATTAATTTAGTGTCCCATGAGCTGGACCAGGTCAGGATGTCCATCTTCATGTGCAGAGATGGAAATCCCTCTCATCACCATCCACTCTACAAGCAACGACCCTGCTTCTGAAGTCTTAAAGTGGGCAGATCCCTCCCCAACAGGTCAGATGGAGGGTTTAAATGCCCAGGCTTCCCACTCTTACTCATGGATTGCCCCCATGATGGGGAACGGTGAATGCTTGAGTGTGCTGCAGCACTGCTCAGCTGCTCACAGAGAAACAGGAGGAGGTGAAAGAAAACTAGAAGGATGTTAAGGAGACAAGACACAACCTGAGATTCAACACCTTGACAACACTCTCCCACATTGCTGGGCCACCAGCAGCAGTGAGATGCATGTGGTGTCCAGATGAGGCGCCAGAAGGAGAGATCACTTCTCTCCTGGAGACCACATCCTTCCTGATTTCAGGGAGTTACCTCGGATTCAATTAGTCTGGAAGCAGGATTATATGTGGCAGAGACTTGACCTGGTGCTTGCTCTTTCCTGCTTGGAGCACAAAAATCTCTCCAAGCCCTTTTCTCATTTCTCCCATCTGATGTTAACAACAAACCAATGCTATGGAGACCCCAGCCTCTCCTCCTTGTGCACAGTTTAACTCTGCCTACACCTCCCTGAAGCTATGAATGGCTGTTTGTGGTGTGTTTTGACATGTTCCAGGAGTTGGCCCTTCACCGTCAGCACCTCCCCAGGACTCCCACTATTCTGTCTTGGCTTTTTCCAAGCTTCTGTAAATTATCCTCAGTCACTTGTAAAAATACCAAAAGTGCTCTGTTCCCCATGCTGAAAGGATAGAGAATAGCACAGGAGGAAGACATTATTGCTACGTGTACACCAATAGATTAAACATGGTCAGTGGGGCTCAGCGGTGCTGTGCCCCCGTGGCCTGGAGCAGACCAGTTCCACACTGTTAAATGCTATTCCTCTCCAAAGCAGGCTGGCCGCATTCAGATTGACTTCTGGGGATGTCCTCACTCCAAGGCTTATGGCTGCATCACTACACCCCAGAAACTGCAGGGCCAGAGGCTCAGCTATGCTCAGTGGGGCATGGTGGCACCCAGGTGACAGAAAGGAGAAAGGGATGAGGACAAGGCGAATCTCAGTCCTTCCAGTTGGTGTGATGCTCTGGAGCGTGTTGACATAGGTCACTGCACCATGGCTTGGTGGAGTGGTGAAAAGGGAAACCTGGTTTATGAAAGGAGAGAATCAGTTCCTGTGCCTATAATGTAATTTCAGATCCCGCTGTACTATAAAAACAGAAACTGCTGTCATGACCTTGGAGGAGGTCTTCTCAAATACTTCCCAAAGGAACTCCTTGTTCCTAGCATAACTTGTCTTTCCTTTGGATAGGAACCGGAAGGCTAAGGACACCTTCATGGAGTAGATAAGACAGGGGCACTTTCTGGATTTTGAGCCCTTCCAGGGTCTGTTCCTGGTGACACCCAAGTGAGACAATATCAGAAAAATCCTCTCTTCTGAGAAAAATATGGGACCCTGGTTTCCACCTCTGAGGGCCTCATGAGATCATCCGTCTCTCCAAGAGTCTATTGCTTGCTCCATAAAGTCCCTTTTCCTCCTTCCACCTGCTACGTCTCCTGCCCTGAATTTCTGCACCTTCTTTTGCTGCCCTCCCAGTTCAGTGCTTGAGCCCAGTATATCTGTTTCTCTTCCCTCAGCAGTCATGGAGTGTTTGCTAAGAAGGAGCTGCTTCTGTAGCTCTTGATTAGAGTAGAAGGTAGCAGCTGGAGTTGAGATATTTCAATTATGTTTATTACAAACTTTGGGTGAACCCACCAGGAGGTTTCCTCCTGAAATATCCCAATGGCATCTCAAATGCAAAACCTTTCATCAAACTCCAGACTATTTCGTAGTGCCTCATGGCCAAGTCAAGCTTTTGGTTATTTCAAATCTCACAACACCTGAAATTTGAGTTCTTCTACCCCTGATTTATTCATAGACCTGGTTTATTTAGCACTCAAGACTTTTTTGGATCTGCCAAATGTGGAGAGAGAAATTATTTCCAACATGTAGGAAGCTCTGCCTTGGGCTGTCATATCTTGAAGAACTCTGAACACAACAAACTGGTTTCCTTGAAATATCGTTTTGTCTTCAATTTCACTGAGATCCATAAAATGAGCCGGAGCTGCTCATAGTCTTTGCTTTCAGACGCCACTGAATTTTCCACGCACGTATCTAAACAGAATCCACGGGGGGGAAAAACTGCTAGATTTGTTTTTCCCTGGCTTTCTCCATAGGATCTCCTCTGGATGAGAATAAAGCGTGGCAGGTTTTATTCTAGAAGAGATGACTTTGTCAGTGTCATGTCAGCTGCTAGAAAAGTAGGTTAAAATAGAAATTATGACCCTCCTTCCCCCTCTCCGCTACATGAATTACAGAAGATACTCCCCAAGATGGTTATAAACAGAGTCAGCCCGTAAAAGCTGTAAAACATTTTGGGATCCCACTTTAAATAAATCAAGCAGATTGACCATTTGAGAAATTTTCCTGCAAAATTTTAAGTAAATATATCCTCAAACTGAGACTTGCTTCATAGAACAAAGGCCAGGGGTGAATATTTACAGTCCAAACCCAAAGCATAAAACACCCCCATTCAAGACTTTATGACAGAGGTGCTTGAAGCAACTTGAAGTGGAGCGGCACGAATGACCCATTCCATAATCATGTCACTTAAAAACCAAATCATTCAGGGGCTTTTATTGTTAGCGATGTCTTTGCAACTGAGACAACATAACGCCACGTTTTCCTCCTCACACTACCCCTGAGAGAGTAATTTTATGGAACATTAAGAGAGCGCCTCTTAGGGAAAAAAAATAAATCTCTGTGACTTATAAAATAGATGGTCCTTCCTAGCAAGCAGGGACAAAAGCAAAATCAGGTCTTCTCTCCCAAAGATGAAGCAGCCTTTCTGGTTTTGCCTTCAAAAATAGCACCTTGCAGACTTTCTACCACGGGATTTTCCTCCGCCCCTGCCCCTGACTGACCAGGGAGCTTGGGATAAGCACTGGGTTGTGCATGTATTGGGCTTTCTGTGCCTCTGCTTTTCTAATAGCAGACCTTCCAGCTCCCTCTGCTCTCTTTAAAAGGCCATTTGTCTGGATTTTTATTCCTCGCTTGCTGCTAATTTCATGCTGTTTACGGTGGGCAGATGGAGTAATGAGTTTCTTTTCACATCCTGTTTGTAGCTATGCTCCACATCTGTTTCTGCTCTTGCTTACCTCAGTGACACTTACATAAAGTTAGTCCTAATGTGCAGGAGCAAGAGAAAAATATGGCTCTTCACATTGCCTTAATAGACCCTTGGTTCTTCTTATACAGGTATCTCAAAGTGCATTTTGTTGAACAACGAGTTCTGAATCCCCTCCAAGGAGACCATTTCCTTCATCAAGGAAATGCAGCTGTGTCTAGGGTACAGAATGGTGAAGGTGACCCTATGTGGTCTGGAAACAGTGAACAAAATGCCTGGAGAGCATCAACACGGGGTCTTGCCACTCCGCCCTTCTGATCCAACCTACACTTGGGCTTCAGACGTTTTAGCAGGAACCACACCATTCTCATGACGCTGTTCAACCTTGGGCTTTGGGATACCTCTCCCTCCCATCCAGTTTTTGTATGTATTAGGTGTGAATCCTTTTACACCCCTGATTCGTGCACAGTCTGAGGGAATGATGAATGCTGTTATCTCTTTGACAAGCTGTTGACTCCAGAATGTTTGGTGTTAGCTTTTACAATATTTTCTGCTAAGAAGAGAATAACTACTCAATATCTCCAACAAAGAAACAAGAGTGGTTTATTAACCCTTTAAGTTAGTTGGACATCTTTTACATAATTCTTCCAAAATCAGGCCTGCCAAATCTTGCACAATGAGTACAATTATGATGCAGAAGGCTCTTGCCTCTCACTCCCCTTATGCTCAGGCTAGATCTCCTGTGCTCATGCATCCTCCATGCTCTGGGATCCCTTCTGCTCTGCCACCTCATCTGCCTGTGGGATATCAACAGTCTTCTGCTCTCCAGGTATACCACATGCAACATCATGATGTGTGAGAAGCTGTACCTCTACAAGTCTTGTTTTGCCTGCAAAAGTGGATGGGTCTCTTCATGCCAGAATCAGTCTTCCTGCCAGCACAGAGGCCATGTAAATGGCTGGAAGAAGACATTACAAAATGTACTTGCAGCCTGTGCTAATGTGACTGACACCTGCAGAACAGGGGTCTAAAACTTATAACTGTCATCTGGATTTTGTAGTGCCCAGCAATCACCTTTGTGATGCTGGGATACAAAGGCAAGTTTCCTTCCCTTCCATGTGTCTTGCCCTGGACTTATTGCATGCTTAGTCCGCCGACACTGTGAATACATTGACGGCTGGTTCACTGTTTTCCTGGATTAGATCAGAGCAGCTCATGAGAGGAGGATGACACCATTCATTGCTATCAGTCCTCTGTGGATTTAGGTGGGTTTACAAACATAATACATACATAACGAAATCCCACAGTGTAAACCGATCTTCATTTGCTGGTGACTCTCCCAGTCAGCACTGGGATGGTGGAATTTGTTGAGAACACCTCAGGAATGTAATGTCCAAAGGTGTTAAAGCAAAGCAGGAAAGTTCAGACCAACAACATGCTGCATGTCTCGAGCAGGCATTAAAAATATGCTGCCTGACTTTTTGTACCTACAGCTCTGACCTTTCTCCCCTTAGTTTCAGGTTATAAGCAATCTTTTGTCTGCTTTTCCTTGGTGCCTTCAAGCAGGACTTTACAGGCATTGTGGAAATACAATTTAATACAATAACTTTCACCAAGTGCTTCCTTCTCCTCTAGTAGCTGATCCACATCGAAGACAATTTACTAATTGCATGGATACAAAACCAGAAGAAACCACATTCCTCT